TGCTGGGTCTGAATCTTGCATCAGGCTATCATCATCCTCTGGTTCTTTGAACTTGAGCCAAGGTCTGCTGATTCTAGGAGCCATTAGTAGCCTGCCAATTGACTTGCTAACTTTCAATGCAGTCCCCTCTCCAGTCACAAACCTAACCTCCTGATCTTGGACTAATTTCCCTCTGCAGCCAAATAGCAGCTTGTGGTGTTCCTGAGATCTTGGGTTTGTCCGCTTCTTAACATTGGACTCATGGAACTCTAATTGGTGGTACCCACTTCAACAATTGTGTGTGCCATTTTCTTTATATAAATGTATCTGTCTAAACGTTACTGGTTTTACTTCCCTAGAAAACCCAACCTAATGGATTTCTATTGTTGTGATAGAACTTTAACAGTAAGTATAGTATTTTCCACGAGTTGTGAGTCATTCTGGTGAATTATGAAACCCAGGAGAGTAGTGGGAGCCAGCAGGTCAGAAGTGAGGGAGACTGGAGACCCCTCCGTTTAAGGTTGTTAAACCAAGGGAGGAAAGGAACACCCACATTTGCATCGAATCAAAAGCGAAGGTTTCTCATCGACTCCTGAGCTGCCAGCTGGCGGTCCAGAGGCCTGAGTGCTTTCTGTGATCTGACCGAGCTCCAGGTGGCAAAGTTAAGGGAAGAGCTCTTGCAGTCAGAACTGAAGTGGAACAATACCAATCATCTGTTGATTTGATCAACAGTTTGTTGTCTCAGTAGTGGGGATTTGATTTTCCCACTCACTACCCCAGAATTAGCGAATGTGCATCAATTTACTATTTATTCTTGATTAAAAGTCACAAACTTAGTCATGATACATGCTTAGCTCACAATCTCTCAGTTTGCACGGCAGGACGCTACAATCCCTTAGCCTGCACACTACATAGAGAACTGTAGGTGGAGGTGCATGTCATGCCTGTATAAAAAAAAGACACTCTCTCCCCTGGCAGTCTTCCTGTCCTATTAGCAAATTTCTAACTCCACAAAACGGTCATGGCATCTTACTGGGTCCCTCAGTATTTAGTGTTGAATGAAATCTTTGCTCTCTAGGTTTATTATTCCCAACGGATTCCAACCAGGTATGTTTTCCAAGCAGAAAAATACATGTTACCAATTTCCTTCAGGATCAACATTTACTGATCAAGATTGCAAAAACCTACTGTTTATAGTTCTCTTCTTCCAAGTTTTCCTCTGAGCTCTGAACACTGTACTGAGATGCTTCAACTGATTCTACAAAGATAACAGGCCTTTCACCAACATAGGCAGTCCTTGGCTTAAACGTTCTAGGTAGGTGCAAGTATTTCTTGATTGTTCTAGGACAAAAATGTCTTCCCTGGCTTTTAAATATTATCTTTATATGATTATTTTATCCTTACCACTTTTTCTGTAGGGTTTTCCAGTTTGTGAAGCATAATAGTGTAGTATTTAATTAAATTGGCGAGGGGGAGTGGGGTGCCAGCCCCACCTGCTACTAGAATTCACTGGTTCAGTAATGCACAATTGTACGGTTGAGATATATAAGTATTATAGTAAAGTCATCGAGAGCATGAGAGATATTACAATAATACAGATAGACACATTACATGGTAGCATTGCTCACCTCAGCCCAGCTTGGTGGTCCACGTGGAGAGAGGGGAAGGGAAAGAGGGCAAGGGAACAGGAGAGAGGGGGAAGAGAGAGGGGTCAGAATCAGAGAATCAGAGAGCTCTACATTGCTGACCCACGCCTATATACCTTTTGGGGGCATGCCAGCCCACTAATTACAGGTAGAGACATACGTCACAGGGACGGGCTGTACTATAGGTTACACAGCAATGAGGGGGTGGCCTAGGGGGTGGTCTCTGGGTCTCCATAGTAACCATTATCAGTAGGGTGAAAACTCCGCCTATAGGAGCCTGTCCATTGTCCCCAGAGGCAGGGAGCAGGCCCACCCCTGTGGTGGGATGAGACAGCAGTCTGGCAACTGATTGCCCTGGGGGGGCAGGGAATGCCTGCGCATTTTACCTCCCCCCACATAGTAGTAGATGCATAGCGATAATAACTGATGCAAGGGTTTATAGGGGATATAGGGGAGGGTGTGTGTGGCAATTACATAATCGGTTGTCAATTAGAGATTTAGAGGAGTGAAGGGGTGGAGTTTAGCTTGTCAATCAGGTCTCAGCTTGATGACCTCATTTGGAGGCACAAAGGAGATAAAAAGCGGGACACATGCTCACCCCCTGGGAGACATTGCAGCTGACAAGACACATGGAGCTATGCTAGTGCCCTGAGTTGGAATAACTATGTAGAGACCCCTGCCAGTGCTGAGATGCTTCTACCGCCACTGGATCCACAAGACTTTCCACCCAGTAGCCTGGGATAATCCTGCATTCAGCATCATTGCAGTGTTTCTTGAGTCTAAAGAGGAATTTATAGATTGGTATTGGCCATATGGGGGATATTGGACTTAGGGACTTGGATTGGCCTGGGATGTTTTCTCAATATTCAATTGCTCTTGTATATAAAGCTCTTTCTTATACATGAGTAGCTATGAATTTGTTTCCCTAGTGTGCCTGGACTGATATATTATAGTACCTTGGGAGTGGGGTACTAGAGAAAAAAAATCATAAAGATGGAGAGTAGATGTTTATTTGATTTCTGCCTCATGGTAGTGTTTCTTCTTGGCCTAGCCAGAGGTCAGATCTGTCCATGCAGTTTACTGAGTTGTTTTATGGAAAGAATATGGGCAAAGTTTTGAGTATTTTGTTTGATTGTAGTCTTTGGTTTTTCCTGTGTGAAGTGGCAAAAATGAATGTTTTTAATGTATATTTTGAGCTCAGGGGTAGAAATCACCCCTTGAATTTCTCAGAGGCCATGCTGGTTAGAGAAAATGGCTGACTGAAGTCAAAATAGCTGACAGAAGGCCTGTCCCTGTCTTGAGGCAATGCTGTCAGAGGCCTAACCCATATTTTTATATCAATAGAATAGTTTAGATAAAGAATTAAGCTAAATAAAGCTTGAACTTGACTGTTTTACGAATTGAGATTAGTATCTGATTCTTTGTTTATACTGATTTCTTCTCATTATTATTGTTGACAAAATGATTGACAACTGATTAGTGGAAGTATGAAAATAGAGAGCATATAAGGCCACTAGCTTGAGCCATTAAAATTTGATTTTTAAATGGGTTTAGGACACACCTGGAAAGATGGCTCTGAAAAGATAAGCCCCACTCAGTGCTTTGGAGTACTCAGGATATTTGCATTCCAAGAGACCTACCTAGGGGGGTTGTTGACAGATTGAAGAAAAAAGGAATTCTGGATTTTTGAATTTTGAACTAGTGGTTTTTGTCAGAAGCTGGAAAAAAAAATCTGGAACCATGAAGAAAACTCCACTCTAGGACTGAATGTTATAGGGAGCCTTTGGGCAGGCTGAAATGCTTGCTAGGTGACCACTTGGATCCACTTGTTGAGTGGAAATGGGAGAAAAGCAATAGAGAGAGGTTGAGTCTGGCCACTGACACTTGAGGACCTGTTTTATAGGAACTAGATGAGAGTGGGTTGACTGGTCTGAAGTTCATGACCTAGCACAAGGGGCCTAAGGTTGTTGAGAACTCATGATGGGGTCATGGTCTAATGCACACCCTGGTGAGGCAGCCCATACTGAGGTGACCAGAACCTGACAGATGGAGAGATTTCCAGCCTGTGAATTGGTGCATATTGCTGCACTTTATGAATGGCCTGTTCTGATTTGACTTTGCTTATAGATACGGATTTCACAAGGTTCCAACTGGATTTAAGATTCTTCATGTCAAAGAGTATGATTGTCTCTTCAGAGCACTGGGTTGATAGAGGTGACAGTATATTAAATTGAATACCTAAAATTGAGGGGGGGGGGGAATAAAGGCATGAAGTGGTTGACTTACAAACTTTCATAGGTGGGGGAATTATATTCATAGGATTAAAGGATTAAGGTGTAGGTGTTCACATTAAGTATAGGATATTTTTGTTCACTTATAGAATGTTGTTTAAATGAGGGTGGCAAATATTGAATTGTATGCATTTCAGTTTGATCCTGTTAGGTAGATTTTATTGTTGTTTGAAAATGACATATGGCTAGTTGTATGAAAGTGTGAAACTGACAAGGGGTGGCCTGTGGCAATTATATAACCTGTTGTCAATTTGAGACCAGTGAAGGGGTGGAAGTTAGCCTGTCAATCAGGTCTCAGCTTGACTTGTTTTGGAGGCACGGAGATAAATAGCTCACTGGACATGGGACACACACTCACCTCCTGGGAGATACTGCAGCTGACAAGACACATGGGAGCTATGCTAGTGTCCTGAGCTGGAGGAGCCACGTACACCCCTCCCAGTGCTGACATGCTTCTACCACTTCCAGATCCACAAGACTTTCCACCCAGTGGACTGTGATTGTCCTGCATTCAGCACCATTCCATGTGCTTGAGTCTGAAGAGGAATTTATAGATTGGTATCGGCCATATGGGCTAATATCGAACTTGATCTGGACTGGGCTGTTTTCTCAATATTCAATTGCTCTTGGAATTTGTTTCCCTAGTCTACCTGGACTAACATAGGGTGGGAAATTAGGAGGATGAGGGGATTTGGGAAGCAATATATGTGGGAATGGGGAGGGAGCACTAGAACTTATTGTGATTACACAACTCATTTTAAAAGTGATTTAGGTGGGGAGGGAGGTATAAAAAAGAAGAGTTGATACCAAGGGACAACTAGAAAGAAATTGTTTTGGAAAAGTTGATGGCAACACATGTACAAGTATGTTTAATACTACTGAATGATGGATTGTTACAAGATCTGCAAGAGTCCTCCAATAAAATGATTTTTTTTTTAAAAAGTGATTTAAACATGAACAAAGAATACTCTAAAATTAACTGGTAATGATTGTATGATTCTTCTTGATATGATTGAATTATTGAATTGTACGATATGTGGATTCTGTGCCAAGAAAACTGTTAAAAAATACAAAACACAAAGGGTGCTCCATGAAGTCTTTAATAAAATGCACAGAACTTCAGTAAAACAACAGCTTTTTATTACATGGATTCAAATACACAGTAGACGAGTCATTTTCCTGAAAATTTACAGTCAGCCAATACAATCCTGTTATGTTCGGCGTCTCAACACTTAATTCTAAAAGGCGTCCTTTGAATTCCCTTCACAAAACCTTGCACAAAGCGGGTAAGCATCAGTAAGAAGCTGCTGCTATCAGAAGTTTCTTTTAATCGTTGTCATCATCCTCAGAAACAAAACACATGCGTCTTCTTCCTCCTGTGTGCAAGGTATTGTAAGACGGGTGCTTTCTGAGTGTGGTACAAAGTTTATAAATACAATATACCAATACAAAATGGAAGCCATTAAAAAGAGGTTATCAACAACTGCTGGGATAATTAAGTCTGGGATGCTGATGGAATCTATGAAGACATTTAAAAACAACACAAACTCATACAGCACAGTGAACACTTTACTTGGAAAGGGGAGAGGGCTTTCTAAGTGCTACTGGCGGATTTTCTAAGTTGCCCCCAGTTCACTTTTTTTCGGACACTATCTTTAAGTACTGTAAAGCATTGTGCGCCGCGTCGCTCTGTGCATTGCTGTAGGAGATCCCAGTGCCGTGACAGACTGTGATAGGACTAGTTGACAGTTCAGCCAGACATTGATACTGTCCAGTGGCACTCAGTTCTTCTGTAAGGAAATAGCAAACATGACAGTTAATGCCAAGCATCAATAAAGCAGGTCTTTTGTGACAACAAGACTACTCTACTTACGTATCAGCTTTGTCAGGCACGTGAGACAAACAGAGACAAAACTACGTGTCTAGCTATGGCAGTTAATTCCAGAACAGTCACTTGAGGGAACGCTAAAAATACAGCCGCGCAAACCTCACTGTAACTATTCCACCTGAAACACAGGGTTGAAAGTATCAGAAGTGGTGGGAGTCTAAACATTTATTAAACACTCTCCCAAGGCAGCAGTTCTAATGTGCTAGTTGAAAGCGTTTGCAAGTCCCTGGACCACAGGAAGCTTCTTCAAAGTCAATATTCGTGACTTGTCTCTGCCTCCTAGCACTCAACACGTGCACCTTTTGTATTTACTGAGAAGGAGTCTCCCACCATCATCCTTTCTGTGGACCTGCAGTGAATTCTCAAGTGCTGCTTCGTTCGTGATACATTAAAACAGTACCCTTGATCCAATATTCAATCCCCACGAGTAGAGAAAATTAAAAAAACGAAAACTCTTCCAGCTACTAAAATACCCTTCTCTCCCAGTGCTAAGAGCTTTGACATGTGAGACCCACACTTCTCACCAGGCCCAACACGGTCCACAGCATGGTGATGGTACACCAAAACAACAGAAACAACCCTAACCAAACCCCATCCAACCAATCAGCTTTACAACTAACGTAATGTAAGATGCAAATGGATTTGATTTTCAATCTGTGCGCCATTTGTCTACCTATATGAGTAGTGGTGAGAGAAAACACAGGCGATGGCAGATAATGGCTCACCTGGGGAAAAGTTATGAATGAAATCTGTCCGCATATGCATTCTCCCAGTATCGGGACAGTGGCATAGCAGAGAAGAGGTCTGGCCTCCATACACTTGGTACTTGCTTTAGAATGCTTTCTTATTTACCAACCTAGACATTAAGACGAGTGTAACAGTGCATTTAATTGGGACTCTTCCTGTAATCTAGCTTACCCATCGCTACCACACTGACTAGCTCTATAACCTTGGAGACATTTCTCAACTTTTCCCTACCTTACTTTCTTCACCCACTGTCACTGCGTCATTTGACTCATACCTACTTTATAGGGCACAGTCAAACTGCTCTTTTGGGTTTCTGAGGCTGTAACTCTTTGGAGGAGGAGAAAGCCTCATCTCTCTCCCTTGGAGTGGCTGGTGAGTTTGAACTGCTGACCTCGTGGTTAACAGCCTAAAGTGTAACCCACTATGTCACCAGGGTTCCTGAATGAGGATCACCGAGCCTAGTCACTGCAGTTAATTTGAGGACTCTGTAAGTTGATCTGTAAGTGTCCTTACAATGCCCATCAAGCTTAGCTATTATTATTTTTGTTACTGTTAACAGTATAGACATTATCTATTATTTTTCAAAGTAATAGGGCATTAACAACTCTGTATATATATACTCTGATAATTATATATAGTCAGCATTCTAGAGCAAAAAGATATATCAGAATACAAATTTCTGATTCTCAATTATCTTTAAAGAAAGAACATTTCTTGAGATAAGCGAAAGAATGAAAAATCATACCTATATCCAAATATGTTATATTAAAACCTTGTTCCCTGGCGATCTCACTAAGTAGCTGGATATAATCCATGTTGGGAATACTGAGAAGGGTTCTTTTCAGCAAGTTGATCTTCTCACCAGGAGAATTCCTCAAGGAATGCCAAGTACATCCTAAAGTGTGTCCTAGGTTTGTCTGGAAAACACAGATTAAGACTTCTACTCTTAGCTAACACTGAGTTCAACACTATTATCATTAAAAGTACGTGCACATTTAGAACTTTCTAAAACATGTCTAAATGGATACCATTTGGTTAACTTTCCAATTTAAACTAGACAACATTAACAAGGATATTCGTTAAAAAAATACCACAACTTTTTTGTTTTTAAATGAAGTACTTGTAATAAAATATAAGTATTTATAAGGATATTCTTAATACAATGGTGTCTCAGTGAAATTTCCTGATGGTCCATGTTAAGAAGTACAAGGTATTTAAGATCATCATATGCAGATCTGAAAATAATTGAATTTGCCTCCAATTTATAAATTGGAGCAATTTATAAATCAAAGTATAAAATAACTTCGATATCTTAATAGTTCCTGTGTTCCCTATATATATATATATATATATATACACAGCTCTGTGTGTGTGTGTGTGTATATATATATACACTCTGATAATTATATATAGTCAGCATTCTAGAGCTGAAACTTAGAAAGAAAACAGTGAAACTGTCGAAAAGCTGAAACATGCGGTTTGGGAAGAATAAGTAGCTGTCACCATTCAAATGAATGGCAGGGATGCCAGGCGGCTTCTTTCAAAGGGAGAGTGTCTCTGAGAATGTACTAATTCTCATTTGTCTAGATTTTTAGATCTCATCCTTGACTATCTCCCCAAAGCCCTCCCCTACCTTGTCACCCCTCTGACCCACACTGACACGTGGAAGCCAGATAAAGCTGTAGTAGTGTACCACTGACACGAAGAAATCTCTTAAATGACACTGGGAGGACCCAGACAACAAGGTTTCCTTTAGGAAAGATGTTTAATTACATCAATAGGACCTTTGAACATTACTTACTAAAGAAATGTGGTTGTCAAGAGAAATATTACTGAATTTGGCAAGACATTTCTCAGCAGCATTCCTCTTGGCTTGTTTTTTTGATGGCCCCGTTCCTAAACAAAGAAAAGGAAATGGTAGATGTTAGGAAAGAAATGAATGCTCATAAAGGGTGATTTCATATTTAAAGTATAGTGTCAGATCAGAGAATAACCTCATGGTGTTTAACACACTTCTTAACCTGGCGTTCTTAGGATTCTGAAGATATGTCTTTACTATTTTTTGGAAATAGCTATACTTTTTTATTTTAACAGTTATATTCACGTTAAAGAATCACTTTTGTGTTAATTTTGGCCAAATACTCAAAAATGTCAAGGTATAACTGAATTACAACCCCTTATCTTTCAATACTGATTTTTTTGCTTATTGTTTTCTATAAACTGACAACTATGTGGGACTTCTTTTCTATAGCACTAATAAGGGCATAGAGGATGCTGGGATTTAAATACACCACAAATATAATTTACTTCAATGTTTTTCTTTTATGCATTAAAACTGAGGTACAGGGAGATGGAAGAAAGCTCTGCCTAAGTTTACAAAACAGGACTCTCTCAAGAATGGAAGTGAAGACCCTGCTTTTGGCCCAGTGTTCTCTGCACTGGCCTCTGCTACGAGTCTTCTCACAGGCATGTATTTATTATTACTTGAAACTACTTGGCCAATGGTAAACTTCTTCTCCTAATGCACTTTAGAAGAGTAAAACAACATGCCAGGGAGTACACAGGGATTCTCATCCATAGTGCTTTTCTAGGTGACTACTCTTTTTCAGCGTAGGGCCTTTTCAACACCACACCAAAACAACCAAACCCGTTGCCATGGAGTGTATCCCAACACAGAAGTGGCTATAATATAAAAGGACAATTCCTACTTTACTTTCATTCAGTGCTAAATTTTTGCCATCTAGTTTTTTATTAAGTCACCTTCTTTTCAACCGCATTTTCTCTCGTTTTCTTATCTTCTAGAATGAAAGATGTTTAAACTCCTAAGGATTTTTTTTCTCCACAATGAGTTTTTTTTTTTTTTTTGAGTTTTGTTTTTTTAGTCACTAAGACAACAAAGAATATTTCTTCTAAGTTTGGTCAATTATTTATCTTTCCATTAATAAACTCTTATTTTTTAATAGCAGATTAAAAGCATATAAATATGCTTAAGCTAAATGCTTATTTTTAAATTTATTTTTAAAATGTTAGCTATTAAAGCAGGAATATATAAAATTTTCATCCACAGAATTAATTGAAAAGTTATTACAGAAGAAATTTCCAGAGTCATTCCTCATCTGAAAACATTTCAAATGTCTCTAACTGTATGAAGGTGAGGGGAAAAAAAAAGTACCAGTTTCCATAAATGACTCTAGCCTGCAAATTGTGGTATATTCTCTCTTATGAACAGGTCCTCCCTCTTGGGAAAGTGTATACTCGGGTAGTCTCCAGCCATGATGAATAGCCAATTCCTATAAAATGAACATAAGGCTTCAGTAATGATTTTAACTATGCAAAGGTCCAAGCAGACATGATACTCTTTCCTGAGTTTTATTACATTTCTATTACACGTTTGAAAGGGATACTGCTGTTAGACAATGGAAAAATGAGGAAAAACCCTGTAGTTTTCAGAGATGCTTCAGAAATGTTTATGTTTTATAAGTCCACAATACCAAGTGAAGAATGGCATTGTTCCATGAAGCCACAGAAAGCTAAGATCAAAGAGTTCAAATAGACAGGCTACTATTACCCCTTCAGGAACAGCAGAAAGGACATCTACAGGTGTCATTGCCATCAGTGCTCAAGGCCTTCCCTCTGCTAAGGACGTCCATGCCCACAGCTGGCTAACTATTGCCTGATCAAAAGCAGATGAGGAGTAGGGATTGCAAACAGACTTGGATTAGGTTGAGGAAAGAAGGTAGAGAAAACTATAGAAAAACAAAGTAGGAAAGAGAGACCAAAGGACTAGCTGGATGACAAAGCATGTCGATAATCTGCAAGGAAGGCTATTCCGTATGCAGAAATTCACAGCTGAAAAAAAATAATAAGCAAATGAGCAGCCTACTTCCTTTGTTTTGAGTTAGGTTACCCAAAATGAGTTCCTTAAAAGTCTTTTGTCACAACAGAAGTATTAATATTCTTAGCTGTCGACACACAGCATTCAAGACAGATAAACATTTTTAAAATGTTAGCTATTAAAGCAGGAATATATAAAATTTTCATCCTCAGGAACAGTACTGGGAGTAGCAATACCATGAGGGTAGTGAGAAGGTAGGGGGTGAAGGGGGAGAAACAGGGAACCAATTATAATAATTGATGTATAAACACTTCCCCACCAGGGACGAACAACAGAAACATGGATGAAGGGAGACAGCGGACGGTGTAAGATATGCAAATAATAATTTATCATTTATCAAGGGTCTACAAGGGTGGGATGTTGAGAGAGGGAGGGAAAAAGAGGAGCTGATACACACAGCTCAAGCAGAAAGAAAATGTTTTGAAAACGATGATGGCAACATGGAGAAGTGTGCTTAATACTTACTACTGAATGATGGATTGTTAGATTTGTAAGAGGCCCCCAATAAAATGATTAATTAAAAAAAAAACTGATGGCAACATATGTACAAATGTGTTTGACACAATTGATGTATGGATTGTTAAAGAGTTGTAAGAGCCCCCAATATAAAGATAATAAAAAAATTCTAAATGATAATAAAATTAAAAATATATATTCTTAAAACACTTGGGTGCACTGAGGTCCTGTTGATCTCAAATGAGAATTCCACAGACCAAAAGCAGATATTGCAAATGGATGAAAATCCAAAACGTATAGAAATAGAAAAACAATTTAAAGTTAGTTTTTTTTTTTGAGCCCCCCCTCCCCCTAAAGTTAGTTCTTTAATGTTGAATGATTTTAACTTGGAAAACAAAATATTTCACCATCTTATCTTTAAAATATTAATTCTCTGTCATGACCCCTGTAATAACATTTCTTATCAGTAGACAAAATGTTCCATGTGGAAAAATTGCATGACTTACCTGTAATGAACCAATAGGGTTAAGCTGGCTCTTCGGTTGTTTTGAAGGATCAGGCATTAACGGGTCAGGAACTGCAAAGCTAAACATTTGTTTAAGGTTATAAAACAAAACAGTCTTATAAACAAATTATTATATAAATGATGAGTATTTTAAAGTGGCGTTTTGGCTTTTGCCATTCCTTCTACTGGGAATCCCCTCCTCTCAAACCTCTTCCCTGGGCATCCAGTCTGCTCATCATCCAAATAATACTTCGCGTCCCTATGAAACTGAGAGGGCAGTGCGTGTGGTAGTGAAGGAAGGCCAATTTGCAAAAGGAGGGTGGAATGGATGCACTTGAAGAATGGGATCAGTATCCAGAATGGTACACATAGAAATCGGTGTACGAGTGGGTACCCAAAAAATCCTGGAATTTTTTCAAAGCTATGTATTAAAATTTTTTTTTTTTAACAAAACAAACTCATCAACTTCAAAGTACTGTCCCATTACTTAATAACATTTATTAAATCTGCAATTCCATTTTTGGAAACATTTTTCAAACTCATGTTTGGATAGCTCACAGCACCTCCCTCAGTTTTTTTCTTTACCTCCTCTACGTCCTCATATCACTGTCCTTTCATAGCCCCCTCTATTCCCAGAAACAAAAAAGTCTCATGGAGCGGGGTCAGGTGAGTAAGGTGTGGGGGGCAAATGAAGCATGTTGTTTTTTGCCCAAAACTAACGCACTGAGATCACTGCGTGAGCAGGTGCTTTGCCATGGTGGCAAAACCAGTCCCCCCACCCCCATCGGCCACAAATCAGGACTTTTTTGTCACACATTGTTATGCAATCTTTTCAGAACCTCTAAATAGTCTGACCTGGTGGAATGAACTTCAAATGCACTAGGAGTTGACATTTTTATCTGTTAGGGATGTCCAGAATAAGGTTTGTCACCAATAGACATTTCACCATTTTTGAAATGAGAAAACCACTCGTACACTTGAGTTTTTCCCTAGCACTGTCCTTGTCAACTGTATTCAACATCACAACAGCGGCATTATTCTTGAGCAGGAAACAAAATTTCACAGCCTCATGCTGCTATCTTAAATCTTTTACTAAAAAATTCACAGCACACCTTCCCAGGTGACACTATTGAGTGCACTAACTCAGAGTGAGTCGCTCGATGCTCACCTAGCAGGAAAAATGTGTACTGTGAAAGTTCTGCTCTGCCCAGCGCAATTCCAGTTTTTTGGGGGGTACCTCCTCGTATACTGTGTATCTTCACCAAACCAAAAAATAATAGAGAAAAACAAAAGCAGCTTATCTTTTTAGACCCCAGTGGAAGAAAACTTCTCTTCTTTGAATCAGTGGTTCTCAAGGAAATTATTTTATCACAATACATTATTTATGATGATAATTCTGACGAATACATTATATGCCCACCATTATCACCCCTCTACTACCCATACTGTAAGCTCATTGATGGTAGGACTGTGCATTACTTACTTTCATAAGCACTGTGGGGTTTTGTGCCACAGATGTTCAATGAAAATGTATTTAAACTATACTATTGTTAGTATAGACCAATAATTAGCCAGGTAACATAAGTTTAGCCTGGTAAGGGGATAATATGGATCATAAATGCTTTCCAATCTCAATAACTATGGGGGAGGTAACTTTGATCTGTTGTCTGATAGTTCTGGGATAGTCCGCTAAGATTTATATAGTACTCTACATAACATAGATGGCTTGCATGAATTGGCTGTCATCATGCAGATATTCTGATTATAGGAAAGAGACCATTTCTACTAGGTGGTTTGAAATTAGTAGTTATTATGGAATTCAGTGCCTGACATGAAAAAAGCCACATTCCAAGCTACTACCACTTAGGTAACTGGAAAACCATTTATCCATGACAAATGAAGTTTAGTTTTTGCCACTTCCTCCAGTTCTTTTTTAACTGCCAGAATGTCAGTTAAATGTATCAGCCTGATACATAGGCTGATATTATTTGAGCATTCACTTACTCTGCTGCATGCCGAAGCTACCCAAGTAATTGTGATGGAGAAGTGAGAAAGCCTCTGTATTCAATCACTCTAGGCCTGATTACAGCTTAGTAATTCCCATCTTACCTGTCAAGAAGCACAAATAATATTTGCAAGGTGTATAAATCTTTTTGCTGACAAAATTAATTGCTCATGTGTGAAAAGAACATTCAGATCATCTGCTCATTTCCACAAATGTACCCAATACTTTGTATGGAAGTATTTGGGTGACACGCATGTAGCGTGACCATCACTGAGGAAAAGGGGTGGGGGAGTGGAGAACCCAATACCTGTTATGTCATTTGGCACATCTTGAAAGCTAATAATTACAATGCATGACTCTAGGGAATCAAACATCACATGAGGACCAAGGCTTGTCTCAGCCAAGGGCCTGTCTACAGGGTTAGCATGCTACACACAACACAGAAGCCACCACTTGTCTGTCAGTTTGTCTCCCATGTGGCTTGAGTGTTGCTGTGATGCTGGAAGCGATCTCACTGGTATTTTAAATGGCAGCAGGGTCACCCAAAGTGAACAATTTCAGAAGCACTTCCAGATGAAGAATAGACGATCGGGAAGGAATAGGCTGTCTACTTCAGAAGTGAGCTACGAAAAACCCTATAGACAGTATGGAAACATTGTCAGTTACTAATGAACAGCAGCAGACCACTGTCAGACAGAGAGCAAGAAGAGGAGCCCCTTAGGTCAGAAAGTATGGAAAATCTGGCTGAGGAAAAGCTCCCTGCTCAAAGTAGAGTCCTAATGACATGGACGAGTAAAGCCTTTGGAAGCTTCATTTGCTGATGAGCTATAAATATAAAATTAGTAAGTATGAATTTAAGAAAATGGAAAGTAATTAAAAATGCAATGCAATGTATAGATTGCTATTCTAGGCCTTAGTGAGTGAAGCGGACTGGGATAAGCCACTGTGGATCAGGTTCTATGCCAGGAATGACACAATCAAGAAGAATGGCATTGCATTCTTATTTTAAAAGGACATTTCAAGATCTAGCGTGACGTATGATGCCATCTGTTGTCGTAAACTGAGAACTTGGTAGAGTGTATCTGGCCTTATTCCGTAACTCACAACCAGAGGCCTAGAAAACTGACCCTATTTAGAGAAAGAGCTCCATTGTTCCGAAATAGCGATGCCTTTAAATACACATTCTCCAGGCCGAAAATGTGCCTCCCCCGCAATAGCCCTCATTATGGAAGTCATAAAAGAGCTACCATAAAACATATCTCAGGCCTGCATCTAGCTAGTTGCTATGCCTGAAGGTTTTCTGTAGATAAGAGCAATCCGGTTCTATAGGCAAACCTACCACAAAATGTGGCAAACCACTGGGAGGGCTCAGGGGCATTCGAGGTCAACCAGCACTAGGTCAAGATGATGGCTCACTTCACTGCTACTTTATTATGTTACCAGCTTATGACATTGACTATGTAATATGTTCGCTGTATGATGTGGATGCCTTTTGAAAGATCAGTAGGCCCCATTATATATACCCACTGAAGAATACATTCATGCTCTTGCTCCTGACATAGGGACAAGGAGACCCTGTGTCCCGCAGTCTGTCTGTCTGCCTTATTTTCCATAATCGCAAAGTTGCTCCTGAGGACCCATTTGAGTGTGGGGAACCATATCCCCACAACCTGTGATAGCACAAGGAAATGCAATTAATACAACTACTATTCAAATTTATGCACCAACCATGAAAGTTTGTGATAAAAAATGAAACCGAAAATGTGTGATCAAGATGCATTGAGAATTTTTGGTGATTTAGAACCCAAAAGTTGTACACAAAGAGCAAAGATGAGTAGTTGGAAAATAGGGTCTTGGTGACAGAAACGAAGTAGGAGATCAAATAGATAGAATTTTGTAAGACCAATATGGTGAAGTCTACTATCAGCAGCTAAAACCAGGCCAGGGTCTGCCTATGGAACAGACCATCAATTGTTCTGGTTGAAGCTGAAGAAAATTAAAACAAGCCCTCAAGAGCTAAAATACAACTGTGAAAATATCTCACACAAATTTCGACAACATCTCAAGACCCGTGGAGCTGTGGTATAACATCAAGGACCTCACACGTGAAGAAAGCAAAAGGCCATTAAAATAAAGAAAAGAAAGAAGAGATCAGCATACATGTCAGAAAAGACTGTGAAATTCACTTTTAGTTATGGAATAGCTAAGGCAAACGAAAGAAATGATAAATCTAAAGAGCTGAACAGAAAATTTCAAGGGGCTGCTTGAGAAGACAAAGTAAAATATTATGAAATGTGCAAAGATCTATAGTTAGAAAACCAAAAACCAAATTTCATCTTGAATTAAAATAAAGAAAAATTTCAAACCTCAAGTTGCAACATTGAAAGATTCTACAGACAAAATACTGAATGATGCAGGAAGTACCAAAAGATGGAAATACACAAAATCATTGTACTAAAAATAACTAGTCTACATTACACAATTTCAAAAGGTAGCATAGAAGAAACAATGGGGTTGAAGGAAGAAATCCAAGCTTTACTGAATGCATTAGCCAGAAATAAGGCTCCAGGAGTTGATGGTATACCAACTGATGAAGCACTAGAAACATTCATCTATGCCAATATATTTGGAAGACTGCTACGTGGCCAACTGATTGGAAGCGATCTGTATTTGTGCCCATTCTAAAGAGTGTGACCCAACAGAATGTCCAAAGTATAGAACAATATCATTGATATCACATGCTAATACAATTCTGCTGAAAATAATCCAAACAATGTTTGCAGCAGTACATTGGCAGTGACCTGCAAGAGGTTAAGGCCAGATTCAAAAGAGGATGTGAACAAGGGATATCATTGTTGACATCAGATGGATCTTGGCTGGAAGTAGACCATACCAGAAAGATGTTTACTTGTGTTTTATTGACTATGCGATGGCATTCGACTATGTGGATCATAACAAACTACAGATAGCCTTGAGAAGAATGGGAATACCAGAACACCTAATTGTGCTCATGTGGAACCTGTACATATATAAGAGGCAGTTTTGCAGAGGGAACAAGGGAACACTGCATGGTTTCAAATCAGGAAAGGTGTGCATCAAGGTTGTATCCTCTCACCTTACTTATTCAATCTGTTTGCTGAGCAAATCATCAGGGAAAATGGATTCTCTGAAGAATATGGCAAGAGGATTGGCCGGAGGAAGCTTATTAACAACCTGTGACATGCAGAGGACACAACCTTGCTAGCTGAAAGTGAGAACTTGAAGCACCCGCTGATAAAGATCAAGGGTTGAAGCCTTCAGCATGGATTACAATTCAGTGTACAGAACACCAAAATCCTGACATCTGGACCAAGAGGGAACATCATGATAAATGGAGAAATGTTTAAGATTGAAAGGATTCTGTCTTTCGTGAATCGACAATCAATGCTCCTGGTGGCAGCTGTCAAGCGATCAAACAATGCATTGCATCAGGTAAATCTGCCACACAAGACCTCTTTAAAATGCTGAAAAGCGAGGATGTTACTTTGAGGACTAATATGTGCCTGACTTAAGCCTTTGTGTTTTCAATCACCTCATATACGTATGAAATTTGGACATCGAGTAAGGAAACCTGTGAAGAAGAATCAATGCATCTGAACTATTGTGTTGGTGAAGACTATTGAAAGTACCACGAACTGCCAAAAGAACAACAAATCTGTCTCTTGAACAGCCAGAATGCTCCTTAACGGCAAGGAGGTGAGACTTAAAGAGGAAGGCCCCAGACCAGACAGACGACTCAGTGGCTGCAACGGCTCAAAGATAAGAACAGCTATGAGGGTGGTGCAGGATCAGGCAGACTTTCCTTCTGTTGCGCACAGGGTCCCTATAAGGAAGAACTGACTAGGCAGCACTAACAACAGCCCTGGTAAGGGCTGACCTAAGCTGCCCAAAGCTTTAGAATGACTTAGAAAGAGGATCCTGAAAGAGAACCTAACGCCAAAAGTATCGCTATATGGCTAAAATCCTTTGAATATTAATCAATTAAGCAGTGAAGACTGGCATGATAGTAAGGCATAAAGGATAATGTTAGTATAAAAAAATACTGATGCTTGAATTTGTAAATCGATGACTTTTTTTTCTTCCCAAATGTTACCAGATTCAGCCATGATTTATTGAAGGGAATTGCAATTCAGTGATTTCACTGACACTTTTAAAAAACACCAGTCAGTTATCTTGAAGTATGGTCTCCAATGTGGGATGTGTCTGAGGTTGTGTATTTCTGGCAGGAACTCCATGGAACAGTTTTCAGTCTGTCACGTCGGGGAGATGACACCAGTGTCTCATTACTGGTGCTGTTGGCTCTGATCACATGGTTACGGCGGTGTCTGTCAGATTTTTACACTGGAAAATTAGTACTGTTGGCATTATAGTTAATAAATATTTTGTAGGGAATGTATTTGGAGACTGTGTAAATATCTTTGGTTTCATCATATGTTCGTCCAATTTTAACATGCACTGGTGATTCTTGCCCATGTTTTTACTTTGTTTCTTGCCTAAGGATGATTTTTTAATCTCCCTCATTTCTTCTGTATTTATGAATGGTACTTTTACCTACAACAGTGCTTTTAGCGGATCTTTTTCTGTCCCGTGCCTTGTTTTCTTTGGTGTAGAAATAATTGAGATCTTAATAAAGTAAAACATTAGCCAGATAAACTCTAATTTTCTATAGCTAACTTCTATCTGGTTTAAAAATAAGTACAGCCTCGTTCCTGAGACTCCTCATGTTAATAGCTGCTTGTTGGACTTGCTTTCTTAAAGATACAACTGTCTTCAAATGGACGACAGATTCCCGCAAGAAAATAGGATGTCTGAGTTGATACGTTAACAACAGTTTACTGCTTCTGTGGGTGTGTTCACACTTTCAATCTTACCTCAGCCATGATACTTTTGTGCTGCAGAACAAAGAAATTGAGCTCACCAAATACTTGCATTGGCTTTCAAAATGTTTATGGCAGCCTCTGCAGCTCTATGTTTCGCCAGCTTCTTACTTGTACCTTCACCTGAAATATGGTTAAAAAAACAAACAATCAGAAAAACCATTATATAAAAAAAAGACTTTTATAAAAAAGGTGGTTTTTTTTTAATACAAAATCACCGGAGGGTCTACATACAGGCAGTCCCTGGTTTAGAATGGAGCTGTATTCGATGGCCTACCAGCGATGAGTGTGGCAGGCAGAGCATATGCCCTGGTACAGCTCAAGTCTCTTCACTCCCCAAACGAGCAGTTTCTCTTGATGCAGTAGAGCCCATCCTTCCTCAAGCATGGTAGACACCAATGCATATAAAAAGCCAAACGGGAGTCTGCGAGAATGTTTGGAGAGGGACATCATTTTAGTTTTTGCCAGGTGCTAGCTAGGCTGCTGAGATTGGCAGATCTCTGGGGTTCTTACTTGCCGTACTGTAATCTGAGAAGAGCCCTGGTGGTAGGGCTTAGGCTTTGAGGT